CTGTGACATGGATACTGATGGAGGAGGCAGGATGGTAAGTAACGTTTACTTTGAATAATATCATATAAAACTATTATATGTAAAAACACGTGTAGTAAGTTTAATTACCACAATAAACTTAAAAATTCTCCATTTTCTGTATCTAAGGTATTCCAAAGAAGAGGAAACCATAGAAACCCAAAGGACTAATTTTTCAAACCTTGGGACTTGAAGCATTCAGAAAGAGTTCTGCCTAAGTTAGTTCTGGTTGGAGTTTTAAACAGAACGTATAAAGATATCTAGAGAATTCTGGTTCTGTAGGTTGTGATTACAGTTTTGAAATAGATTGAGTTAAAGGTATAAAAGGAGTTCTTGCTAGTTAGTCTGTGATTAATGTTTTCAATACATTGTTTGGATATATGAGGTATGGGAGAAAAGTATTGTTACTTTAACGATGAATTAACAATATGTAGTAAAGACGTTATCATAATTTGTCTCCTACAACATTGGTTATATTTGATTATCAGTATGATTTCTATTTTATTCTATACCTACATAATATTAATTTATTCTAAAGTTTAAAGGTGTTTTCGTTTTTATCTGTACTTGACTATTTTATATCGCGCTGAAACATATGAACATTTGGTGTTTTTCTTGAATGCTGTTGGATATACAGGACTTGGTGATTTAATATTTAATGATTACTTAGTTTTGATTACAAGAGTGTTAAAAGTTAATTATTTTAAAAGTGATAGTTCTGACAAGTTTCGTTACAGTAACTCTGTACGAGTCATATGTTGTGTATGCACTTTATCTGTTCTACTAGGCTTTTGTAATTTTGTTGACGTCATGTTATTCTAAGATTCTATGTTTTTCTAGTTATGTGTAATATTATTGTTACTATAGAGTTAGATATTTTCTGTCATGCATTATACATATGTGCAGATTCAGCAAGTTAAGTAAGTTACTGAAAAGAAGCAAGTCAGTGAAATTGAAAAAAGTGAAATTAAACTGTGTGATTATGAGTTTAGCCGTAACAGGCGATTTCTAAAGTAAAAATATCATAGTTTGTATTGTAATAACAGAGTTTGAGTAGAAAGATTTGTCTTGTCAAAGGGTGATCTAAAGTAATTCAACCACTCTGCGTGGACTTTGACTAAAAAGAGAAAATTATTTGAAGTCTTGGATTCAAATGTGATAATCAGTAGTGTAACGAATTTTTGTATATATATTTGTCTTGTTTGGAATATATTATTTTAAATACAAGTGGATTGTGTGCTGTCCATTTATTGTCGAAATTTATAGCCAACAAATCACAGACACCCACTGTAAAGAATCGCGACCCCTACACAAAACCTGACGTGATGTAAATATGGTATGTGATTTATTATTTATTATTGTGTATAATGAAACTGTTTCATTTTTAGTATATAGGAAACGATCGGATCTACGCTTTAACGAATCAAACTACTCAATCAGTTTTGATTTAAAGGATAAAGAAGGGAAGAGAAAGTCGCCATCTACCGGGAGTTTTGGATAGAAAACGAAGACTACTTATATAGATTACATGTCAGTAATTACTCTGGTGATGCATGTTAGTTAGTTGTTTACCTGATTTGTTGTTTTATTGGTATTATGGTGAATACAAGTCTTTGAATTATTATTTCAGAAAACTAAGTTCAAATACTTTTATGAAGAAAACTATTTTTGATGTGTGATAATAAAGACGTTTATGTTCAAAACTATAATTTATAACCTTATGTCAGGTTTAAACACCTAACCATCAGCTATTCTTTCTTGATTGTGTATGTTACGTGGAGAAAAACAAACTATTAATTAAGAAAACCCCGCAAATATTAAAACTACATAACAAGGATATAGGTGTCGCTCTGGTCAACTAAAATTGTTTTAAAGATTAAACATAATTATATGGCTCTAGTAAAATCAAAGTTGAAAACCTATTAATTTGAAGAAACAGAATAGAAACATTAGTCACTAATGGTCATCGATGACACATCTCTAACTCAACTTTGTTGATGTTTTCCAAATACAATTAGGGTTAAATCTCAGTAATACACTATAAACCAGTACGTAGTCGCCACGTGCACTGAGAGCTGAAATGTGTAGCGCGGAGAAGAGTAGTGTTTAATAAAGGTAAGTGTCAAAAATGATTTAAAACTTTGAACGTTATAATTTGAATAATTATTTGAAGTTAGACGTACGTAACATTTATAAAAGAATGGACTAGAATCCTTATCATTTATAAAGTAATTTATTAAACTTGACTTATTATCATAGTTGTATATAGAAGGTTATTTTGAATTTGTTTGAGTATTATTAGAAATTTACACATAACTCATAAAACTAAACATAAATACAGCATTTGAAAGATGTGATTAGTTAAAAGTAAGAAACTATGTAAATATTTTAATACATAATAAGTGAATTTTTCAGTTCTTTATAAAACTATTGTTGTAAACTGACCCACAAAACATTTGCAGCAGTTTTCATGCCGTTCTCTTCAATTTTCCATATTTTATCATTTTAATGCACGCCATTTAAGCTACGCTTTCTTTTAGGCATTATGTTATTGATTGATAAATGCTGGTCTATCTGTAAAACGTGTATGTGGTCAGACAAATAAACGCACATAGACGTTACTTTATTTGATAAAACTACACGTAAAGTAAACAATAAAGTAATGTTATTTATAATAGTATACAGAGTATGAAACAGTTATGAGTGTTCAGTGTGTCACAGGGTTTTATGATTTGAAACAAAGAAACTCACAAAAAAACGAAGAATAAAACCCGTAGTATAGAAAAAAGTAGCTAAAAAGTGCTTCTAGCAGTCAATGAAACGAACTATAAAGACAAAATTAGCTGAACATGCAGAAACGTCTCATGACGTTTTCACAAAGTGAAACTATTCGTATATTGATAACACGTGTACGTAGCGAATGATCAAACTTTTTATTTACATATAACACATTTTTATAATCTTCTAATGACACTTTTGGTATTCTCATAACCCATATTTGTGGTCTTCTGAAGAAGCTTTTGTATACAGACAACATATGTTATTAGTATTCTGATGAGACTTTTTTGTAGAGTAATGACCTATATTTGAGGCCTTCTCATGAGACTTTTGATATACTGATAACCCATGTTTGTAGCGTTCTGATGAAACGTTTGGTATAATGATAACACATGTTTGTAAAACTTTCCGTATACTAATACAACATTTGTATGTAGTCTTTTCATATGAAGTTTATTATACTGATAACGCATGGTTGTAGTATTCTGATGATACTTTCTGTAGACTGATAACACACGTTAGTAGTTTTCTCATGAGACTTTTGTATGTTTGTAATCTTTTGATAAATATTTTGGTATATTGATAAAACATGTTCGAAACCTTCTGTTGAAATATTTGCTATACTGATAACAAGTGTTTGTAGGCGTCTGATCTGAGTTTTCACATACCTATAACACATATTTATAATCATATCCTTAATCTTTTTGTACACTTATAACCCATATTTGTAGTCTTCTGATGAGACCTTTGGTATACTGATAACCAATGATTGTAATTTTCTGATGAGACTTTTGGTAACTGATAGCACGTGTTTTTAATTTTCTGATGATATCTTTCGTATACTAATAACACATGACTGTAGTATTCCGAAGAGTCTTTTTGTTGACTGATAACACATGTTAATAGGCTTCTCATGATACCTTTGGTATACTGATAACACATGATTGTAGTCTTCTGATGAGACTTTTGGTAACTGATAGTACATTTTTGTAATTTTCTGATGAGGCCTTTGGTACATTAATAACACATGACTGTAGTATTCCGATGAGACTTTTCGTAAACCAATGATACATGTTAGTAGTCTTCTCATGAGACCTTTGATGTACTGATAACACATTATTGTATTTTTCGGATGATACTTTTGTTAACTGATAACATATAACTGTAATTTTCTGATGATACTTTCTGTAGACTGATAACACGTTTGTAGTCTTCTGATGATACTTTTTGTTTATCTTTAATTTGTGTTGTTTTCTGATGAGACTTTTGGTATACTGATAACCATTTCATTAGTCTTCTGAGGAGAATTTTTGTATACTTATAAAACATGTCTGTAGCCTTCTTATGATGCCTTTGGCATTCTGATAAAACACATTTGTAGTCTTCTGATGAAATATTTCGTATATTGATAATACAGGCTTCAAGTATTCTGTTGAGACTTTTGGTGTGCGGATAACAAATTTTTGTAATCGTCTGATCCAACTTTTTGTATAATGATTGTCAATATTTGTAGTATTCTGATGAGACTTTATGTATAACAATAGTCAATGTTTGTAGCATTCTGATGAGACTTTCGGTATAATAATAGTCAATGTTTCTAGTATTTTGATGAGACTTTGGGTATAATGATAGTCAATGTTATAGTATTCTGATGAGACTTTAGGTATAATGATAGTCAATGTTTGTAGTATTCTGATGAGACCTTAGGTATGATGATAGTCAATGTTTGTAGTATTCTGATGAGACTTTAGGTATAATAATAGTCAATGATTGTAGTATTCTGATGAGACTTTAGGTATAATGATAGTAAATGTTTGTAGCATTCTGATGAGACTTTCGATATAATAATAGTCAATGTTTGTAGTATTTTGATGCGACTTTAGGTATAATGACAGTCAATGTTTCTAGTATTCTGATGAGACTTTAGGTATAATGATAGTCAGTGTTTGAAGCATTCTGGTGAGACTTTATGTATAATGATAGTCCAAAGTCTAAACATATTACCTTAGTATTTGTCAAACAGCTTCCAGCATTACCAATGATTCACGATGACAGATCCCATGAGCTTATTATCTACATTTATAGCTAAAAGTTGTTTTAAACACATAAATCAAGTCAACTTTAGTTGTTATGCACTCCATGACTTAATACCCTCATTATAGATAGAATTACTTTAATTAAATATATTCACAGTTAAACATATATCAACAACAACAACTTTACTATATAGCCAAGTTATCATCATATCAGTTACGTATGATAGTTACAGTACTATATTAATCTTACATTACATCTAAATATGTGTATAAAACTCCTTGTATTTTGTAGGTTAAGATTATCATCATTGTGTGGTGATTATGTTAAACAATGTCTGTGAAAGCATATAGTAAGTAAAGTTTGTACAATAAATGTTCATAAAACATAATTTATGAGGATGAATATATGGAAGATAATGTGTTTTCATCATGTGAAGAAGATGATTTTTGTTGAATCATTTAATTATAATCTAGAGTCCTTTTAGGACCATCAAATCTTGATAAATAGAATGTTGTGATTGCACATTTTCTTGTTTACTGATGAAAAACTTTTAACTTCCAGCATTACCTTTACATTAAACACCGTAATTTAATATAATAGTTTCTCTGTTACGACTTTGTTACACTGATTAACAATGAAGTAATTTCTCTTCATTGTAAACATAAGCATCAGTATCAGCCACAGAAAGATCAAATCAACATCTTCCTGGCGAATATGACAATAGCATCTGCTCATCTCAAATTATATCATACACTAGAGAAGTTAGGTTCTTCTGTATTGTATAATGATACAGATATCATTGTTTATATTTCAGATGGATATAACGATCCACTTCTAGGGATTATCTTGGTGAATTTATAGACGAGCTCGATGGTCAGTATTTAATATCGTGGGTCAGTGGTAAAAAGTTAAGATCAGCCCATCAGTCATTCTTTTGCAAGCTAAACCTTTTCAAAAAGGAACAGCTAAATATCCTTCAAAATATATAGCGTGCAAATCGTTTTCAACTCCCTAGAGAATCTTACAAGCATCTATTGATAATATTTTTTTAGGTTAAGTACCTACACGTCTTGTTATAGGATATGTTGACAACAATGCATTTAATGGACCTTGGAAGAAATATCCGTACAATTTTAAACATCTCAGTATCAATTTCGTGAAAATTAACGTGGACAGAAAACAGATTCCTGCTCAAACTTTAAAACCAGATTTTGAAGCTGCACTGTATGGACAAATCTTCGAAACATTAATTAGTGGGACTGGAAAACAATTTTAAGATCCAGGAATTGATACAGAATATAACGAATACTTGATTGAATATACACTCTTTGCCTTTGACCTGACATCTGATCTATCTGTTGGAGATTTTCAATTTAACTTGATGAAACAGAGAAACTTGCAAACTTAAATACGTTTTGGTAGTGCCTTACCCAGCACTACAAGTGTTTTAGCATATGCAGAATTTCACCCAGTTTTAGAAATTGATGAGTCGAGAAACATCATAACTGATATCTGAAACATATTCGTGGAACTATTACGTAATCGTTTATGACGTCATTGCAGCCTAACATCGTGCCCTCTGGCGACACTTTGTGGCACTATTACGTAATCGGATATGACGTCACTGCAACATAACATCATGCCCTCTTGCGACACTTTGTGGAATTATGACGTAATCGTATTTGGTGACATCGTCATCTCTACCCCTTCTTTCCTCCTCCTTATTGTCTGTCGATCCCAACTGAGTCGGCGTCCTTTGGACAATAAAGTACAAGGATAACTACTAACATGAATGTCAAATTATTGGTTAAGGTATTTGTCACAATGCTGATGACAGTAGGTCTGTGACCAACCAAAACATGAAGATTTTTAGTAAAGCCTTCAACAATTTTAGATTATTGTGTATTTTTAATGTTGTTTTGGGTGAGTTTTTAATAAATAGGAAATTTTGTTCAATGATATACAATGTCATTAAAATTGTTCAGGTGATTATGAACCAAGTTATCCAGAAAATGTGACATTGATTCATGTTCAGACTTAACTTGTATTTAAGTGTTTGCTATTCTGATCCAACAGCGAATTACTAACATATTTGTAATCGAATATTGTAGATGTGCCTTAACATGCCACATAAAATAAAATGATTTATAAGAAACGAGGTGTTTCTCAGGTCATTGTTCTTAATGTAGATCAAAAACACAATAAATCATGAAAACACGATCAAGTTGAGTATAAAGTTATTAACATAAAGTGTGTTTCTCTAGCTTTGTTCATTCTGAACTTAGATTTATCATTATGAGAATATTAAACTCGCAACTAGTAAAAATACAAAATATGGAACAATGAGTCAAGTAAATAGAAAATTATCAAATACTATCATATATTTCATGTGTAGGTATTTTCAAAGTTAATAAAAAAGAAATAAATGATAAAACAATGTTTGATTTTAAAATAATTTAAAATAAAACATTTTTTTCGTAATTGAATACAAATAGAATCTAAACATTAAACCTTCTATGTTCTCCAACAATAACTATTCCTTAATATAAGTAAATTTAACTAAAATTTATTCGTTTTCTCATCACGATTTACCAACTTTTGTTCACAATTTGTCCATAATCAGAAACTTCCAACAAATTAAAGTTAATTTTATCCATCAAATAGAAATAGATGGTTTGAAAAAATAACAAAATTGTATTTTACATTGGAATGTTACTGTGATTTGTCGGAATCTCCAAGTTAAGGGGTCGTATTTTCATTGACACTTCCGGGAGAGAGTAATGATAACCTTTCCATGTTTTCCAGTTCACACCATTAGCGTAGCTCTCGTGTTGTCCATTCAGATAAAGTCCATTTAAGTTAGAAGAATGACATTCTCCATACCACCATCCTCCTTTATATGACTTTACACAACTACCAGAATACGTGTCGTGGTCACTATCCTTGGTGGAGAAATTTAACCCGTTGTGATACACCATACTGTCCCCTTGGTGAAGTCAATAAAAGGTTTTTAAATATGGTTAATCTTTAATGTGATACACCATAAATTATATATAACACTCTATAAACAGTTTACATTAGTGAAAGGACGATAATCAATTATTACTTTATCAATAACCTATTAATTTAACTTTTGAAATATAATTGCTCAAAGAAAAAATAAAACAAAAATGTTATCTAATTGTTTTTATTTCAAACGATTTTTTCTTGATAAATCAACAACAGAAACGATGTTTTTTTCTTTTGTAACAATAGCTTTGGAGAACTCCTAAATCAACAAAAACATCTTACAGTTTATTAATAATACTCTTATTCTCAACAAGATTTATTGTAGTTTTAACATCATTGTTGGCTGAAGTTTGTACTTTGTAGTAATGCACGTGGATGAAAAATTCTAAAAACTAATTGTTTGTTGTTTAGGATAAAGTTAAATATGCAAATGAGTTAAAAGACAGTTTAACTAAGCTAACTATCAGTAAAAATGTGACATTCTGTATCTCTGATATGTCTGGACGTAGTTGATAAGACAATAATTTATCAACGTTTACAGGTGAATATTTACACTATATTATGTTATGAGTTGGTGTACATTGTCAGATAATACAGACACTATATCCAACCCTGAGAGTGTACTACTGATCATCTAGATAATCAAGATCATTGATCAGTATTGTTATAAACCTTACCTGCATCTCCTGTGTAACCTTTAATATGTAAACGATAGTACAGGTCTTCACTATCTATCCTAAACTCCCGATAGAGGGCGAACCGTGTTTCATTTTCTTTGTCTCTCAGATCGAACCTGATTGAATATTTTCCTTGGTTCGTTAAAGTAAAAATCCAGTAATTTCCTAAGAAAATAAAATACAAAATTAATTTTGTTTTCGAAATTATCATTGCAAGAAAAAAAAGTCAATTAATTAAACTCAACACTAATAACTGTCATAATTAGCTAGAAAATTAAAATGTTATGAATAAAACTACCAACATTTATCAAGGACTTCAGTTTATTTAAGTGAACAGAATGAAAGCTAACATTTTAATAATTATCACATGTGATATTATATACATAATTGAACATTATTTACTTCTATTATAGCTACATACATGTGAGAGTAGATACTCTTTGTAGTATTATATTATCATACCCAACCAGAAATCTTTCTCTATGTCTCCAAACCCCATTTTGTATTCTTGCCACGATTTATAGAAGTAATCTGTGGGGTTTCCATAATCCCCTCGTCTCTGGATCACCTACAGAGTCAGTAGAACGTGTTTATATAGATCTGACTGAAGTGATTTAAAAATCAGAAAAATTCTAAAAATGAACTATGTACTTTATTGTTTTCTTTCTTTATTCTAAGAATGGAATAAACAATAGAATCGAAACCTGTATCCTCGGTTGCATTGAGAAACCTAAATTAATATTTTGTAGTTATAGTAAACCTAGATTTTTTATTGACCAAAAAAATTAAATTCTATTCTCAGTTTCCTTTACTGAGTAACAGTGACCAATAAACAGAGAAGTAATATTCTCAAAATGTTCCTCTTATTGAAGATTTACGTCTCGTCACAATACGTCCTTTCCTTAAGCTATTAAAAACTAAGAAAAACTTTGATAAAATAATTTCTTGGTCTTCCTTGATATTTCCATAATTTTTTATTTCCTTCATAAGAGAATATAATGTTCTAGTCTCGAAAAATGTTAAAATTTCATTTTTAGTTATTTCAACAAAAGGATAAGAAGTAACAGAAATTTCTTAAGGACGGTATCCTTTTATAGGAAACACTTCAATTCATGATAGGATATCTCTACCAGATTCTTGGTTTATATCACTATCTCCATCTTTGTTTACAGATGTTATATAGTATACAGACATTCGTTGTAAACTATGACGAATTATTTTAACAAAACACGAGTTTTAATTATTTCCGTTTTCTACTTACTGTCCAGCCTCCTCCATCAGTGTCCATATCACAGTAAATATCAATACTTCCTGTAAACATCCATGACTTGGGCCAGATACGGTACACTCCACTACTACGGTGTCCATTAAGGAAAACATCTGCACAGTCTATTGGTCCAGGAGAGGTTGGAACACATTCCAGTTCTTATGAATATAAGTCATAGAAAATAGAATCTACATAAGTTCAAAAGAAATCATAATAAAATATGTTTACAAAATAATTCTAGACACCTGACAACATAAGAAGAATTACATCTTAACTGAAGTGTTTTGCTATAATTAAAACTTTGACAGAAATTTTGGATTACATTCTAAAATAAATTATTCATGTTCCAGTATTTAGATGTTTTATATTTTAAGAGACAAGTAATGTAAACGAAGACTTACCATCGCTGTGTATTTTCTGTTTAGCTTGTGTAACAAGTAGATTGATTGAATCCAGTACAGTTGATACTGATGTCAGTTTACATCGCTCGAAGTTCGTCTCTAGCTGACAGGTCTGATGAACCAGAAGAAGAATCATCACAGGTTTGATACTGATCATCATTTGGTAAATTTGATGTATCATTGTCTGGAAAAAATTTTATTCACATACAACGAAATCCGTTAAATTTTGTCATTTCTGAGATCATCTTGAAAAACTACTTATAGGTTACTTTGTATCATAATCATACTTGTTTATCTATCGATATATTGATTCTTACTATCAATAAACTTCACTTTTATCAGGACACTACTAAAAAAAGTTTTATCCAAAAACTACTATTTGTAACTAGTCTTATCTTTCAAATATTATATTTGTGTTTCTTTCTCTGAGTTAAATGAGTATTTCTAATAATAAACAAGAAAAAATTAAAATAACCTTCCACAGACATCTCTACTATCATATTATGTCAATATTAATATATTATTGAATAAAGATTAAGGACTCTAGTCCATTCCGTGATAATTTTTTAAGTCTGCCTTTACATTTTGTTTTCACATTATAAAGTTCAATGTTTTTAACATTTCTTACACTTACCTTTATTAAATAGTAGAGGAAGAACTGCTACAATACTGATGTTATTTCACTGTAGTTCAACATTTATATTTAACAGTGGTCAACAGGGAATTTTATTTACACTACATATGATCAGATTCTTAGAAATCTGGTTTTGCTAAAAGAAACATTATGTTTGACGTCAGTGTTTTTTTATTCTTCTTTAATCACTCGACCTCGTCTGACACCAGCATTCTGAGCACGAGGTTACTACACACAAGTTTAACATATATTACCGAGAAGTAAATTAATACTGGTTCTATTTGGTAAACATCAACAAAGTTAAATTAGTGGTTTATAATTCAGTGATCAACTTAAAAATTATTTGTAACCTCACACAACTAGTATTAAACTTCTTCAGATATCTTGATTATTTCCACTCATTTCTAATGTAGTTGGACAAATAAAGAAACATATAATTAAATTAGTAAAAAAACAAACTATATACAAATACCAAAAATAAGAAGTTATTTAAGTAGATGTTATTAGAAATTACGAGATAAACTCATCCTTTACTTCGATGAAAAATGGTAATTAGAATAGACATGATGTCATAAACCTCCAGCTTTACATTAGAGGAATGTTAATTGATATTAAATTCAAGTTAACTCTTATATTGAACTTATTCAGAAGGGTAAGACACAAAGGGATACACTCGTTAGACTCTGTAATATCTTATTAAAGTCTATATTTTATATGGTGTTAATAATATGTAAAATAATACTTTTAATATAGTTTAAACTGTTTTATGTGTACTACTAATTGTTTTATATTGGCTTTATTCTAAATTAAAATTTGATTATTTGTAGATAAATTTAAATAAATTTACTCTAAGTTTCAAAACGCTCACGTTACCCAGAAAAATATTTATAAATTTACTTAATTACCTGTTTTTAGTAGTTTTTGACTCAATTTTTCAGCGTCTTTGACGAAATAATTAAATAAAATCATTATAATAATTACAATAATTTTTAAAGCAATATTTATAAGACAAATTCAAATTTTTACGCTGATTATTACAGATCCAAATCCCTTTAAAATATCTAACAGAAACGCCACCCTACGAGTGACTGTTTGTGTTAGAAATTACTAATTTTAGTATTTATACCTCACAGTAAAAATTGTAAAAAACATTATAAAAACATTATAATAATAATTACTATAATTTATTTAAAGCAATATCTATAGGATAAATTGAAATTTATGCGCTGATTAATACAGATCTAAGCCCTTTAATATAACTAACAGAAACGCTATCATACGAGCGGTTGTTTGTGATAGAAATTACTAATCGTAGCATTTATACCTCACAGTAAAAATTGTAATTTTTTTTTTCTGGGAAGTACTGCACGGGAACAATTTTCAGATTGTGCTGTTTAGTTATACGTCACTCAATGTACAGAACTCAGACTTTTTATTACTTTTACTATTATAAACGGTAATGTTTTTATATATTAAAAGTGTTATTTTTATTGAAAAAATAATAGTTTTTAAGAACTCTAGTTTTTAGTTCTACATTTAAAAATTACATCAAAAAGATATAATCAAACCCTCACGTACAGTACAAGTGAAAGTCATGTTCTTGTTGTGAGACAGCGGAAGTCACGTGACCCTGGTAACACGTCATGAGATTCTAGAACGATCATGAATTGTCCTGGCAACTCCAGTCTGTTCCAGACGCTCTCTTTTTTTAGTATATACGCCCGGCAAACAGTAGGCACTGTAAGTAAAGTGTGTGCTCACTGTGATTTATAGCGTGTGTTGTAAATGTTGTTAAGTTTAAAGTGACTGTGGACATTCTGTGTACTAAATAGTTGTATCAAGAAAGAATAAACTAGTTTTAATTAAGAAAGGACTTGTATCGCTGAAGCTGCTCTGAAAGAAATTTTACAGGAAATTATCAAACAAGAAGATACGCAACAAATTGGTGTCAGAGAGTGGGACGGAAAAAAAATTGAAACGAAAAGTGGCAAATCAAATTATAGCTTAGCCGAATTGATGGTAGCAATACAAGAACAGCAAAAGAAACAAGAACGAGAAAATAAACACAATAAGAGAGAGTACAACAGTGGTTGGAGGAGAAAGAAAGGAAAAAAAGAAGAAAGACTACAACAGTATACTTGGCTGACATTGAAGACCAATGCATATTAGGATTGGACTATTTACTACCGAGGAAGGGTGTAGTTAACTTCGATAAGATGACGTTTGGGAACAACAAAGGCCAAATTCCGGTAAGTGTTAAAAGAGAGGTTGAATTTATCAGGTGCCATCAAGCTGAAGTCAAAGTGACTAAAGGAATTGATGACAGTGAAATGGAACCAGGTATAGATATTAAAGTAGAGCAGGAGAAAGACCAATATCTGAAGCCAATAATTGATATCCTACATGTAAGTGTTTTGCACCCTGCTTGGGAGAAGGTGTCTAGCGTAAGCCCTGTGACAAAGAACTATTGGGCACAATGGGACCAGTTGAAGCTTGAAAATGGTAGTCTTGTTCTGAGATGGGAGACTTCAGATAGGAAAGTGACGACCTGGCAAACAGTTATACCGAGAAAGTTATGTGAAGTTGTGCTGCGTCAATCCCATGATAGTTTAACAGGAGGACATCTCGGAGTTAAGAAGACATTGAGTCACCTACGGCAGAGATTTTACTGGATAGGTATGAAGCAAGATGTGGAAGAATGGTGCAGTACATGCAGTACACGTGCTAAAAGGGGACCCAAGGCATAAGGGACGTGCTCCAATGAAGTTATATCAAGTTGGTGCACCAATAAAAGAAGTAGCTGTTGACATTGCTAGTCCTTTGCCCCAAACCCGTGCTGGAAACAGATACTTTTTTCTGGTGATGGATTATTTCACCAAGTGGTCTGAGGTATATGCAATACCAAATCAGAAAGCTACAACTGTTGCTTCGGCTATTAATGATTTCTTCTTCAGATTTGGTATGCCATAGGAACTGCATTCTGATCAAGGCCGTAACTTTGAATCATCTGTGTTCCATGAATGCTGCAAGTTGTTTGGCATACGAAAGACCAGGACAACGCCACTTCACCCACAGTCTGATGAGATAGTAGAAAAGTACAATTGGACACTGGGTCAGGAATTGGCAAAGTTTTGTAATAGCCGCCAAGATGACTGGGATGTCTTACTCCCTCCACTGTTGATGGCCTATAGGACAGCAGAGCATGAAAGCACTGGATACACTCTAGCAGAGTTGATGTTTGGTCGGGAACTTCGGTTGCCAGTGGATCTGTTAACAGGACGCCCACCTTATGAAGAGTTGCCTGAAAATGTGTTCGTGAAAGTGTTATCTCAAAGGATGAATGATATTCACCACCAAGTGCGTTCAAACTTGAAAACGTCTGCTGATTCCATGAAGCTATGTTATGATAAGAGATCTACCGAAGACAGCTTCGTACCAGGAGACAAGGTGTGGTTGTATAATCCCAGGAAGACCAAAGGGAAGTCTCCTAAGGTGTCTCCTCCATGGGAAGGCCCATATGACATAGCGGATCGTCTCTCAGACGTGACTTTCCGAATAAAATGTGGTTGGCGAGGTAAGCCAAAGGTAGTGCATGCTAACAAGCTTTGGAATTATCACGATCCAGAACATTTCAGTTGGAACGAAGTGAGAAATGGAATAAATGACGCTGTTGAAGACGTGTCACCTGAAAAAGCTACTGTCGAAGAAGGGATTCTACCCGGTTTTGAGACGGGAAACAGTGAAGCCCTTAATGAAGTTACTACCACTGATGTGACTGTTACCGATAATAGGACATCTCCTGATGGAGCAGGTGAACCCCACGTGAAGAAGAAGCCAACGAGACGGAGACCTGTACGGAAGAAGATACGTCCCGTAAAATGAAAATAATTTGTTGAATTTTAATTTTGTGTTTGTAAATTATGTACATTTAATCAAGTTATTGTCAGTTATCTATTGGTTTAATGTAAGTGGCTATTGTTCGGGACGAACGATATTAAGGAAGAGACAGTGTTACGACAGCGGAAGTCACGTGACCCTGGTAACACGTCATGAGATTCTAGAAAGATCATGAATTGTCTTGGCAACTCTAATCTGTTCCAAACGCCCTCGTTTTTTTTAGTATATACGCCCGGCAAATAAAGCGAGATAATAATTGCATAGATAGAGAGATATGCAGATAGATTGAAGAGATATATAATTGAGTCAAGCGAACAGTAGGCACCATAAGTAAAGTGTGTGAATCACTGCGAATTATAGCGTGTGTTATAAATGTTGCTAAGTTTAAAATGATTGTGGAAATTCTGTGTACTAAATAGTTGTATCAAGAAAGAATAAAATAGTTTTAATTGATAAAGGAATTGTATCGCTGAAGTTTCTCGGAAAGAAATATTACGGGAAATTATCAAACAAACAGATACGTAACAGTACTTTATTTAAAATTGTGTTCTGTTATAAAGAAATGGTTGTTGAACATACCATAAATATTTTTCTAATTGTCTGAATCTTGAATACTCAGATTCCTGAGTAACATTCAATAGATGACGTCAAAGTCTATTTAACTTCAATCACCACTTCTGGCTTTGGAATATTGTTGTATTTTAGCACAACAAACAGCACCATTGTATTTATTATTTCGGTCACATAGATAGATTGATATATGGTCGGCCATGCCATTGCTCCATTATAATATTATAGTAAGATACCTTTATTATCTTAATGAAAATTATTTCACAACATAACCATCTTTTCTGAAGGTCTCACCAGTGATAAGTGATTATTTACAGACAGTTTGATATTTACAAGGTTTTAAATTATGACATTTTTACTGTTCTAAACTTCCGCAGACTGTTCTTGGCTATTTGCTAACGTTATTAGATTATAACTTTATAATGAAACCTGAAGTCAGGTGGTCATACTATATGTGTACTGTTTACATTTTCTAGATATAAAGTCAACAATTTCCATTAAAAACTAAAATACTGTAAAGAATAATCAAACATTGAAATACGTTTTCAGTTAAGTTATACATTCTCAGTTTAACCTAAATTATTACTCATTACATTAAACAATATATACATGTCTGAGAGGCCTAATTCTTGTTATCAGATACAGACAGGTT